TTAGCACTCAAAAACAGCTTTGCTTACTATTAACCCAACAGTACTAAAGACATATTTTTTGTTATTCCCTTATTTCTGCATTGAAATCGTTCATAATTATTTTCATTGTTTTAAACACATTGTTTTTGGTCATTAGAACCTAAACAATAATCCAAGTTTCCTTAGGTTACTTAGCTAAAATTGGCCTGTATCTTGGACAGGGGTAGCACTGAAGGAGGATGCAGAGAAAGTCAGTATCTACAGTCTCTTTTCCCCATTACCATTCTGTGTTTTATGTGACAGTATGCTTCCGGCATAATTAAAATGAAGAAATCCTTTGTTGATGGTAGCACAGCATTGCTGCCGTACATTGCTGGTGCCCTGGGTTCAATTCCAGACCGGGGGTGCTATCTGCGTGGAGTTTGGATGTTCATGTGGGTTTCCTCTCACTGCTTCAGTTTCCCTCCACAGTCCAAAGACATGCTGGTAGTTAACTGACTTCTAGGAAAACTGGCCCTGCTGTGAGTGTGCATTTGTGTCCATGTGTGTGCCCTGTGAGGAACAGGTGTCCTATCCAGGGTGTACCTTGCCTTGCACCCGTTGCTCGCTGTGATAAGCTCCAACTTTCCTGCCACCTGAATTGAATGAGGTGGTTAGGAAATGAATGGATGGAAATCCTTAATTGTTTGTGGACAAGGTCTTCACTGCAACTACTGTCTTTCCATTGAAACCTTTCCTGTATTCTACTCTACCCAGCAGAGCACTGAGGTCACCACAATTCAGTAACTCAATTTTCCCTTCAACTGGTAATTTTGTCCCAGTTACAACATCCTTAAGGGAATAGTGCCTAGGATATCTGTTCCACAAATTCACATTTTTTTCCTTTTTAAAGAGGCTTGCTATACAGTTTATATCATTATCCAATATTTTATTTTTATTCTTTCAAGAATTGCTTTTAATAATTGAACAAGATCCAAACAAACAACTTAATATGCACAACCCTCCTTAAGTGAAGGTGTTCAAATATTTCTCCCCTCCAGCTGAGCCTGGTTAGGCTCTGATGTGTCTTGGCTTTGCGATGCATTGCTGGAGGCAAACATCGTGGAGATAAGGATTTCAAAAACCAAATGACCCATTCTGGGCTTTAAAATGTGTAACATTCAACCCAAACTCTTCTGAAGGAATCATT